GACAGCAAAATTTATTTTTAACATGCAGGATGAGCTGGGTCTAAGTTCGATTAGTTTGCAAGCATTTACTAGTGACTTGATCACCTGCAGCCGTTGCATGCATGCTGCAGTTCCCGATTTCTAGGCTAGTCAACATGCTGGCATGTATCACAGAATCCGAACCTCTCTGCCTTGTTGCCGAGTTTTGTAGCGATGGTGACCTACTCAATTTTCTGCGAGAGCGTTGCAAATACATGATCAAAGTAAGTTTCCATTCATTTTTTTTACATTACTGAATAAATCTGATGCTACAGCTCAATGCTCAAGGAATAAATTATGATGATCCAGAGGGTGATAACTATAATATCGATATGATAGTCACCTTGAAACAATTGTTGATGTTTGCTGTGCAGATTTCTTACGGTCTTGTAAGTGCTGCAAAAACAGTTTTTTTTTTGCCTCATAGAATCTTTTAGGAGTACTTATCTACCAGAGGATTTATCCATCGTGACATTGCGGCTAGAAATATACTCGTTAATGGGAAAAACTCTTGCAAGATTGGTGACTTTGGACTTTGCCGAAATTTGTATTCGGACAGTTCACTTTATAGAAGCAAGGTAAATTATATGACAGTCCTGAGAATATTGAGATTACAAGATTCATACAGGGAGGACGTTTACCGCTAAAGTGGATGTCACCAGAGGCGATACGACATTATGAGTTCTCGACACAGAGTGATGTGTAATCATTAGTTATACATTTTGTTCTAAAATTTTCAATACAGTAACTACATAGAAGGCTCATTTGTAAAAACGAGTACTTGAGAATTTGAATGTGTAAACATTTTTTTTCGTGCATGCGTTATTGAGCACTAATGAAAGATCAAGGGCACTCAGGATCGAGCACATTTTGGTATAATCATCGATTAATCGAATATTGCGGTGCACATTTTATTCATATGATCCACTTCTTCAAAACTTGCATATCACTATTTGGATTCAGAGCAGTATACTCATGAATCATAAATAAATTATCGGAAACAACATAACTATTATTGCAGGTGGGCATTCGGTGTACTGCTTTTCGAAATTATCACACTAGGGGGTTCCCCCTATCCCTTAATTCCTCCCGAAGATTTGCTCAATTATCTCGAAAAAGGGAGAAGAATGGAGCGTCCTGACAATTGCCCCGAACAATTGCAAGTTATTCGTTCTTTTAACTGTTTCGAATAGTGTATGTGTCCTTCAGCTACGAAGTGATGGCCGAATGTTGGCGTTTTGAGCCGGAAAAACGACCGGATTTCTCAACGATTCGACAAAAGTTGGCTGCCCAGCTTGAGGAAATCACGGAAGAGTACAATTATCTCAAGTTAGACAGTAAGAAAGACTACTACAATGTACAATATGCAGAAAAGGTTTGTTTGAGTTAAAAAGCTGCGATCGCAATTTTGTAATAAACTTATAATCTCTTTAGCCGGATATAATAGTCATTCCCGAGTCGGAGGAAACTATCTCACCGCCAAAACCACGAGAAGGGAGCCAATCGCTTTCCTTCGATAGCATGCATGGTGATGACGTCCGATGGATCGCCCACGTAAATAGTGAGACAGATGACGCAACCAGGAAAAGAAACTCCCGCACTGTCAGCATTGCAAAGAATGTGGACGACAATTCATTTGCAGAGTACGCGTTCTGATGCGTGAAATATGCGCACCTAAACCTAACAAATACTTCACCTTTATTTATGAACCTCAACCATTGGGTTGGTAAAAAAGTCTTCGGATAACCCCAGAGTAATCATGTTATTTCTTGAAATCTAATGCATACACATAAGCGAAAATATGCAATATGTATTCCACCATGCATGAACCTTATATCTGAGCAAGTGGAAGGATTCAGTGCTGTGGCGGGAGCTTGTTACTTTTCTCACCTCGTTTCTTTGTTAGATAGGCTCGAATCCTGTACAACCTTTGCTTGTAAGTATGAACTATTTGCCTATATTTGGAGCATGTGCTAGTGCCATAAGTTCCTGGAAGATGGAGTTCTGGGTCAAGTCGAAATCTTATGCTGTAGAATTTTCGTCTGTATACTCAGAGGTGCTGACCATGATTAATCTTATGGAGCTTGTTTCCTTTAGTTGAACACCGTATCCACTCAGTACTCACATCGAAATATATGGTTGTCCGGAAAATAATGTCGCTTTTTGTTTTATCATGCAATAGCGCAGCAGGGTGCGCACGAAAGTATGTGAATGAGGTATCAACCGATAGATCAGAGCAAGCTCTACAAAATGGAGCTCGAAGCTTCGCGCCAGGTTTGATTTGCGTGAAGTTTGGAGCCAAATTTCACAAGGCACTCAAGATCCGAAAAAACGAAAAAAACCGTATCTCCGTTCAGAGAATCCCTGAGGACCCCTAACTTGCTCACGCATGGACTCACTATACGAGACACTCGTACGCGCATTTTCGAGGTTTTTCCATGGCTGAAAATTGAGAAAACCAAATTTGGCATGTTTTTGCCGAAGCAATCCTGAGCTTCTCTCACATGGGTGATTCTGTAGCATGAACCTTTAGGAGTATAACCATGAATTTTCAGCTTTAGACAAGCGCTAGTTTTCAAGAAAAATTAAATTGTTTGCAAAAAACCCGAAAAACACGACATATTCGCACTTTTGACCTCTTTTTATTTCTCGTACTGTAGCCATGGAAAAATATCAAAAACTATACATGTGAATGTCTAGTGTGGAGAGTACATGCCTGTGCAAATTGGAGATCCCTAAGACGTCTGTGAACGGAGATACGATTTTTCGGGTGTCTGAAATTTTTTATATTTTGGATTCGAACTTCAGTTGGAGCAACATCTCCGCGGAGATTTGTGAACTATCTTGTAGAGCTTGCTTTGCTCTATCGAATGATACCCCACTCGATGTTTTTTGTGGTCATTCTGTCGCGGTAGGATGCCATGCGACGTTATTTTCCGGACAACCATAAAAACTATCTTGTATTTCTAACCCAGTACTTTATTACCAACCTAATACAGTAGAGGAAAGGCGGCTTCGTGAATTTACTACGGAGCACTAACTATCGCTTTTCAATATTGTAGTAATACAAAAACTTCTGCAAATTCGTCTCTTCGTTCTTAGAAACGGATGTCTTGATATATTTACTAAGGCTGCAGCTGTAAAATAGCGCGGTTACCTGAAAAATTATTTTAATCCAAACGTAAGGCCATTCCCTTCCCTTCTTATTGTTTTACAGTGAATTGCTAACGATTTATTGTATAAAACATTGGCTTTGATGAAGTTGTATCTGGGTTCGTGCACAAGTATAACGTATTTTCCTGTAAAAATAAGCGTTCTCAGTGATCAGAAACTTGTCCACGGCACTCCGCAGTACTTTTCAGTAAAATTGCTTGCTGTCAACTCAACTTTGCCTTCTAAATCAGTCTCAGTGCTACGCCTAATCATTCCCTTTGCTCAAACGAAAACAAATCGATTGTGGTGGCCATCGTGTATGTATTTTATCTCAATCCATCCAATCTTTGCACAATTTCTCTCACATTCTTCAATCCTCAGGGTCGCGCGTTTTCTGATTACTAGTTCAGTATTTTTACCATACGATGGTGTGATACTCAACCATCGCATCGCATAGACTGTGCACTTTGTATCCAACGGTTCTCTGTCCGGTTCTCTGTTATGTTGCCCAAACCATGACGGTCACCTCTTGTTGTGAACCTATACGATCCCGATTTGTTATGTTATATTGTACTTCACAATATCGCTGTTCAAAAGTTTAAGGACAATTTCATATATAAAGCTAAATGTCTGTTTGTTTGTCTGTATAGGTTGATGCATGACGAAGGCGCAATACCTTTGGGCGCGAATGCGGCTTTATTAGCCGCAGAGCGTATGAGGCGCAGAATTTACAACAGTAAAGGTTCGCGCGCGCCGCGTTCGCGCCCGCTCAATTAATACTGCTTCTGCGCCTTCGTCATGCCTTCGCCTTAATGTTTGTATATATGTATTTACGTATGTGCGGAATAGAAATTTTTATTTCTGAATCGGTTTGGACCAAACTTGGCAGACATATACTCCGCGGGGGGGGGGGAAGGGGGGAGCATGTCATAGGCTACTTTTCGTTATCGATCGGTATCGATTTTATCGGTTTTATCGATTTTTTGCAGAGTTCAAGCTGCGGTTGGCACAGGGGTAAGCGAGCATGCTGATTATTAACACAGCGGGAATAGGGAATTGGCATGTAGACGTAGGCACAGGAAAAAGTTGTTCAGGTTTGGGGATGGGACCTTTATCATAGTTTTTTGGCAGGGCCGAGCGGAGCCGGATAAGCAAGCTAGTAATTCCTAAATATTTGCTGAAAGTCACAATTGAAACGGATAAAAACTTCGGAAATATGTATTACAAAAGTCGGATCTGATCAGATCAGATCTAGCCCCAAACCTTAGACCGTTTTTCTTGTAAGTAGCTCATCTGTTGTATAATAGTTGACACAATCTTGCTTCCTCTAAAATTAAGCTTTATCGGGGACAAGCCAGCTAGCTTACCGGGGGTTCGCTGGCGCCCAAAAAACCGGGTCACCAGAATTTTAGAGTAAGTAAGATCCAGATTCTTTCTTTTAGATTATTTCCCACATTTCGCAGCTTTCTGCGAAGTAGTGTGCACGTCTTAAGGGCTCTTTAGCTTGTTTATACATATTCCTATTTTATGTAGCTAGCTTGGATGAATGGTTGGTTTTTCTAGTTTGTTCTGAATTCTTTGTTGTTTTCTTTAGTATAGGTGCACCATGAGTGTATTAAGAACAAATAAATAAAAAAAGTGGTTCCCGCCAATCTATTTCATACTTAATCGTAACTGTGGCGCCAGTGAGTCAAATAGAGAACAAAATTATGAGGAAATATCATGGGAAAACTATTTTCTAAAAGATGATTAGAAAAGCGTTATCTAGATAGTAGTGTAGCTTGAGAATTCTTGGAAATTTTTTCTATAGAAAACGAAGTCAAAAATGATTATTTGGCTTCTCTTTCTTTTGTTAGTTTAGTTTTCCCATGATATTTCTTTCTTTTGATCGTCCAGCCATTAAAAGAAAGCTGTACATCATCGGACTCGCCTTAAAGGCAGTGTCCAGGCTAAACCTAACCCCCTTCGATTAGTGTCGATCCTGAATGTAGGCCCCAGAAAAGGGGCATCTGCGTTGGTCCGGTCTTCTAACGTTGTCTCTGAATGGAGATAAGGAGCATCGAAGTCCCTGGCTGGGCGGAGTGTGATATCAGACTCCGCCCAGCCAGTGACTGCCTCCCGACACGTATTGACATGTAATTGAGCAGAAGCTGTACACTGCTGCAACTGCACCCATGGAGTTGCAGCTCCTCCCGCTGGCATGCCGACGGGGACGAGCGATCTGAAATTCGTCCGCGCCCTCAAGACAGGGTCTCAATGAATTGGGTTTTATGTGAATTTTAGAGACTTTGAAGTTCATAACTGTAACCAGGGCCACGGAAAGGCCCCAGAATGACGAAAACATGGGAGGCCAAATTCTGAGTCTACGCTGCTTTTAAAAACGCTGATTTCAAATATACAGGGTGTCCCAAAATAATGTGCACACTGTTTGATTGTAAATAACTCTCTTGTAATGAAGTATACGATCGGTGAGTCAGCTGTGTGTGCGGGTGTGTACTGTGATTGATTGCTGCCACGCGGGACTTACGCACAGCGAGTGCACCTCAAACTTGGGTAATTAAACTTTATTACAAAAATACGACTAACAACTACAAAACGCTACGATAGTACATAAAGGGTATATGTTCAATATATGTTATCCGAGGCTATGAGTTACTGTGAGGGATTCTGTGAGGGGACTGTGAGTTACTGTGAGAGATCCGTGAAGTGATGACTTAGATAAAGGAAACAATAATGTAAAGTACAATGATAGGAAGGAAAGACAACATACAACCGTGAATATGTTCACAACACAATACTAACTACTTATATATGCAAACGGATATAAACACACTCAAAGTAAGCATGGGAAATTCACTGATAAGAACATCAAAGAAAACAAATCTGTGAAACGTTCGAGCGTTGGTCAAAGTTTGCCATCGCGCATTCCTCAGGATCCAAAGAACGATACGAACGCAAGTTCGTATACTCCGACCTCAGGAGACGAGTGGAGCATCACCGTTGATGACGAAGTAGTCGTGGTAGCCATTGTGCCCTTTGGCTACCGTGTCGCTGCTCGTAACTGTGCTTCCTTTTGGTTGATTCTTTTTTTGGTTGGCGTCACAACGAGTCGTTTTGCCATCTGGCTCTTGAACTGTGAGATATTGTCCATTGCTCATTTCCAGTGGCTCAGCTCCATTCAGCGTTCGTCGCAATCCACGTGTATTAGGAGTTACCACTGCAAATATCTCCGGCTTCCGTGGAGAATCGTTGATCTTGGTGAATTTTTCGGTCCTCCTTTTCCCTGCGTTTGTAATTGGTACCGCTCCCGTGGGCACCGTCAAGGTTTCGACACCTTCCATTTGTGTGAGCGTCATCTTGGGACCATAGAAGGCCATGGCTAGCACTCCGAGCGCGTAGTATAGCGTTTCCCTGATGCAGCGAGTAATTCTCTCGTAAAACGCACCCTGCCACGGTGCGCAAGGAGTAGTCTGACACCATCCTTTTCGCCGTGCTACATCGCTTTCGAACTGTGTGCTGTGTACCATGTTTTCTGTAGTTTCTCCAAGTTTTTGCTCACGCTCCAAAACTGTTATTGCTTTTTCACCAGCACTCTGTGACTCTTCTCGTCGTGCAAGTTTCCGAATTGTATCCACTGTCCTATTTTTGGGACGTGTATGGGCTTGCCTCTGACCCTGTCCGTATTTCTCGTCGGAAGTGCTCTCTCTCGCGTTGCTGTGCTTTGCTCCGTGTCTCGAAGGGCGCGTAAATTGATACGAATGGAGTTCGTATGCTCCGGCGTGTCCAGCGAAAACGCGTAAAGCTGGTTTCGGTTTTTTCCTTTTGACCCACTTCTGAGTCTCCTTCTCCTTGCTTCGCGCCAATGTTTGTATTCTCTGACCATGCAAAGAACTCGGTTTGAGCTGTTTCTGTGTTTCCTCGGATGCCAGTGCGATGTTTCTTCGTAGTTCTTTACTGCTCCTTTCCTTTTGCAGGCTGGTTACTGTGTTTGACCTTCTTTGCGAAGTCGTAAGGGATATTCCCCGAAGTCTGCGATTCTTGACATGTCCTCTCTTCACTTTGTCCCTTGGCTGCATAGTCCTTGCTAAGGTTGGATGCTCCCTGTGAGCGTTTACACCTTGTGTCTTATCATGGTGCCTGTTGATTTCTTCTCGGATGGCTTTGAATCCGTTCTCCATTTCCCGCACAAGGGTCTCGAAATGCTGATTCATCATTTGCATCAAGTCTCGAGCTTCCCTAGAGTCATAGTTCCGCAATTCGTGCATCGTTGTTCCTTCAGGATGCAAAGGGGCAGCAGTATGTCTTTGCCTTAACAGTAGAGTTGTAGCAGTTTCTGGTTCAAAGGTTCTCGAAGCTCCTTCATCAATGGGAGAAGTGTCCTGTGCAATTTCTTTCTTCGTAGACCGGGTCACTGCATGCTGATTTGATTTGTCGCCACTCTTTGAATCTTGTGGCGTGCTTTCCGTGCATATTGCAGTGTGGTGCCTTCTATGACATTTTCTGCAGTTACCGCTCGAGCATGACGCTACTCTGTGGTCAGTAGTTCCGCAGTTTAGGCACCTGCTGGAATTAAGAAGAAACGTTTTCTTCTGTGCTGGTGTGGGAATGGCTGGGCAGAATGTCCATCTGTGACCGCTTTTTCCACAGCATTCGCAAACTAATTCCCATCTATCGTTCCATCTTGAAGGACAATTCCATGGGTGTCTATTTACTGAGAGTATATCGTTCAGTTGCTCTTCCTGTGAAATGATGATGTTGACGGCATCAAGCCATTGGTTTAAGGTCCACTCGGACTGGTGCTCTTCTTGGTATCTCAGTCTTCTTTCTACAGCCGCTTTCCTTATGCGCAAATCAAACTTTTCAAGAAAGATCTGGATCGTTATTTGATTATCAAGACGTTGACCATGTTCTTCTAGTTGTGCGGCTATCGTTGACAGTTCATCCCATAACCGTCGCTGTTCTGTCGTACTGGGTCCCCTTGTTACACAGTTGTGGAGGCTTCTATTCAACTCTAGAACAATGCCGTCCTTATTGCCATACCTCTTGATGAGGTGTTGGATGGCCTTCTCGTAATTATTTGCTGACACGAAGAACCGTGAAACTGATTGTTTCGCCTCCCCACTCAGGGAGGCCAGCAAATAATTAAACTTTTGAAGCTGTGATAAGTTTTGATCATGGACGTTAGCTTTGTACAAGGCCCAGAAGTTATCCCATTCCCATTTTCTTCCTGTGAATGTAGGGATTGGGATTACCGGGAGTCTACTGACTGCATATGGGCTTGACCGGTCATCTGCCTCTATCCCGATGTCTTCTAGGGTCTCTTCTAGCTGTGTCCTATGATCGTGCAGCTTCATTATCGTTGCCTGGGTTTTTTCTATATACTTGTCCAAGTGATCTTCCTCCTCTTCTGTGGTCTCTGGAGCTTCATCAAAGGCCTTCGTTAGCTTTGTCAGTGATGTTTCGAGAAGCTCGATGTACCTCTCACAGGTTTTTATCCTCCTTGCGCTTTCCTTGGCTTGTATATCCGTGAGCGCTTGCATGGAGTCCTGCAGCCAATTCATCGCTGCATCATTTCTTTTCGCGACGAGTCCCTTGAGGCATCTTACTGTGCTGGCCATGGTTAGTTGAGTTAGTTCCGTGAGATACTCTGATTCGTTGTGCGGCAACTGTGACTCTTACTGTGAGGGACCTGTGAGGTGACTGGGACTCGCTGTGCAATAGCTGTGCCAAACCCTGTGAGGTGCCGTGAGTAACGTGCAAATTGTTAGTCGGAAGCGTTACTCGTATGCAATAAATCGTACCTCCGTTTGGCCGATGCACCACTTATACGGTCGGTGAGTCAGCTGTGTGTGCGGTGAGTGTACTGTGATTGATTGCTGCCACGCGGGACTTACGCACAGCGAGTGCACCTCAAACTTGGGTAATTAAACTTTATTACAAAAATACGACTAACAACTACAAAACGCTACGATAGTACATAAAGGGTATAGGTTCAATATATGTTATCCGAGGCTATGAGTTACTGTGAGGGATTCTGTGAGGGGACTGTGAGTTACTGTGAGAGATCCGTGAAGTGATGACTTAGATAAAGGAAACAATAATGTAAAGTACAATGATAGGAAGAAAAGACAACATACAACCGTGAATATGTTCACAACACAATACTAACTACTTATATATGCAAACGGATATAAACACACTCAAAGTAAGCATGGGAAATTCACTGATAAGAACATCAAAGAAAACAAATCTGTGAAACGTTCGAGCCTTGGTCAAAGTTTGCCATCGCGCATTCCTCAGAATCCAAAGA